CGCTCTTGGCTCGATACGGGAATTAACACTCGGGGATGCTACTGAGCCTGGGCTGTGTTTTCTTCCAAGCCGTCGGTGGGAACTTGTGGGGCTGAGAGCTGGCATGGGGTGCCTGCTGCTATCTCAGGGGTGGTGTGTTGGCAGCGTGGGGGTGTGAGAGGCATGTCAGGAGGTACCAGTGGGCACAGAGAAAAGGAAGCATGCCCCCCTCATCGCCCGCTTCAGTCCAGAGTGTGCAGAACTGGGGTTCCCGGGGAAGGAGGACCAGCTGTCACAGTTCCTGCATGGAGAACTCCAGCTGTAGAGCCAAGGTGGCACCCAGGAGGGCACAGGCCAGGGAGGGAAGGAGGTTTTTGTCTCACTTCCCCATCTGAAAGCATTGCTGTGGTGAGCACTCCCAATCCATGCAACACAGTAATAATCAGCATCATCCTCGGGCTGGGCCCCAGTGATGGTCAAGGACATGGCGTTCCCTGATCGGGACCCAGAGAAGCGTGCTGGCACACCAGAGGGCCGGGTACTGGTGCTGTATATCAGCAGCCGAGGAGCCTGGCCCGGTTTCTGTTGCAGCCAGTGTATGTAGCTGTTATCAGCAACTGCTCCACTGCTCAGGCTGCACGCGATGGTCACAGTCCCTCCGGGAGACACCTGCTCTGACGGCGTCAGGGGCTGCAGCTGCTGGGAACTGGAGCCTGCAAAGAAAGAAACAAGCTCACGAGGACCACGGCAGAGCACTGGGCAGGACAGCCGTCCTCAGTGCCCTGGGCAGGGAGAACAGCGCTGCAGGCTTTCAACAGTCGCTGTTCACCTTGTTGTACGGGTAAAGACCCCTCCCTTACCAACCGAGCACATGAGCAGAGCGAGGAGGAAAGTGACCCAGGCCATGGTGGGAATCCAGATTCGCTCGGCTTTATGAGGAAAACGGGTCCCTGGCTGGAAGCCTCCATGTCGCTCTTAAACCCTCAGAGCTGAAAACGCCCACTTCATGCAAATCTGCTGCTCATTCAGCCTCTGCCATCTCTTCCCTGCTGTCTTCCCCATTTTACTCATAGAGGGCAGGGCCGGAGAGACCGTTCCCAGTGCTGTGAATGCAAAGAGGCTGAATCCTGCCCTGAGCACAATACTTTTGGATCCAGTCCAGGAGCTTTGGGAATTGCTCATTGAGGAGTGTTTGGGGTCACAACGTTGTTGCCGGGACTCACAGCAGCTCCACCGGACACATCCCCTTGGCCAGCACCGCACCATTCATAGTGGAAAGGTCCCGTCTTGCTTTCATCATTTCTTAAACCCACTCTTTCACAGCTGATAACTGGCAGGATTCGGACAGAGCATATGGGGGCTGACACAATATTTTCTCACTCTACTCCAGACCTATTCCCACTTGCTTCAGGATCTGAAACATCTCAGATGTTGGGGCTCTTTAGCCTGGAAAAGTGCAGGCTCAGGGGTGATCTGATGGCCACCTATAAGTTTATCAGGGGTGACCACCAGTATCTGGGGGAATGTTTGTTCACCAGAGCGCCCCAAGGGATGACGACTAGATCGAATGGTCATAAACTACTACAAGACTGTTTCAGGCTGGACATAAGGAAGAATTTCTTTACTGTCCGAGCCCCCAAGGTCTGGAACAGCCTGCCACCAGAGGTGGTTCAAGCGCCCACATTGAACACCGTCAAGAGCAAACTGGATGCTCATCTTGCTGGGATCCTATGACCCCAGCTGACTTCCTGCCCTTTGTGCAGGGGGCTGGACTCGATGATCTTCTGAGGTCCTTTCCAGCCCTAATGTCTATGAAATCTATGAAATCTCTGCTCTCCCTTTTAGGTCAGTGGGTCAGCTCATCCTGACTAATCACTTTGACCGTTAATCCTGCTCTCGGGTTGCTCTGTGTTCATCCGGAGGTCGTGAAGGAAGCACCAGAGTAATGCTCTTGAGACCGAGTCAGAGTTTTACCTCCACTCTCCAAAGGAAGCAGAAACATGTCGTATTAGTATGACACAGAGAAGCACATCAGATTGCCTGCGCTTCTGTCAAGGACTGGGGCCACATCAGGTAAGATGCTGTACAAAACTGTATCCCCAGCTCTGTGAACATCAGAGTTGCCCTCTAACCTAGAGGCATGGGCAGACCCACAGGTGTATCAGTGGAAGCACCATGGTTTGGTGATGCAGCAGGTCCTGGGCCCTGATTGTCACATCAGGTGTGGGGACGGGCCACACAGAACCCCAAACTGATGGGATGATCAGGCTCTGCGGTGTAATTCATGCTGCCAGTGGGTCGCGCCGCGGCAGTGGGGAGTCAGCTGGGGCTCATCTATACAGCTTGCAGCAGCAGGGCCAAGTGAGGATGGGGCTGCTCACACCCTGCAAACCCAGGTCTCTTGCTGTGCCCCAGACCCAGAATTTTGCCAGTGAGATTGGGCTCATCTCCCACAGCTGCTCTGAAGGTCTCAGTCTCTAGCAGACCAGCAGGCAGACAAGGAAAATAAGCCTGCAGCAGTCCAAGTTAAGGCAGGGGTTTAGGGGGGTTCTTCCTTATCAGGGACTGAATCCCCACGAGGAGGAATCCACCGTTTATCTGTCCCCCAACCCTCCGTTTTCTCCTGCTCTTGCGATGAGTCCAGGGGGCACAGCTGTGGCCTGGCATCTTTCCCAGCCAAGAAACCTTGGTGCAGGCTGATCTCACAAGCCTTCTCCTGTGCAGGAGGAATACGTACATACAGGCAAAAGGATTGTTTTTATGTATCCTGGACTTATCTCCAGATCCCCACGCATCCCCACCATGGTTTGAGAAGTCACAGAAACCTGCATGTGGAATCA